AAGATCGAATGTACCGTATTTCCTCTATAAGACGGGTACTGGGGTCCTGTCGTCTAAGTCGCCGCAATTCGTTGTACAGAGTTGCGTCCCTTGGGCAGAAAACTGTGAACGCGGATTCGAATTCCGGTTCGCCATGATCGTTTCTAGGTTTGTCAGCACCATGCCGTGCTCATTGGTTTCGCCAAAGTGGTAAACGTCTGAGAATTGCATCACTTCAGGCTTTCCTCTCACATTATACGCTGACACGCACTCACTCCTCCTCTATTAGTCTATAAGGGGAATTCTTGATAAATTATGAACGCAAAGGTATAAATGCTACCACTGGGTGAGTGAGTGAGCTGTATATCACGACAAGCCATAAACACGGACTCAAAGTGTGCGTATTGGGCAGCACCCAACTTTTATATATACCAGTGAGTGAGTATGGTTTTAAGCCGCTTTTAGCAATATTCTAGCATTATCACGGCGGGGGACACCAGAAATAGGCTTCACACATTGAACCCATGTCGAGAATCGAACCCGGGTCATCGGCGTGACGAGCGAACGCTTTAACCACTAGGCTACCCGACCCTCCCCTCCTATATTAGACCGCCGGGTGTATATTCATTTCTCGCCAGCCGTTGACACAGCATCTATACTGTTAAATGATGGCACAATGGCAACTTAATAACCTGAGGAAGTCCCTGATTCTAGTCATACAAGGGGAGACCGCCTCCGTGGTCTAATGGTAGAGCGTCCGCCCGGGGAGCGGTAGGTCCGGGGTTCGATCCCCAGCCGCGTCATACCAAAAGACGTTAAAAGATGGTTCTTGTTGTTACCCTGTCTGGCGCTCGGCATTAAGGGGCTAAAACAAGGGCTGGTCGGCTCGGAGTCAGTATACTGTGTCTGAGTGGGGTATTCATGTTAAACTGCGGCATGGTATCTCAGTGTGCTAGCACTATAAATCGGCATCAGTCCGGACTAGTACAAGCAGCCACACACACACACACACACACACACACATACACGTGCATGCACGTCGCTATATAAGTGCAATAATCTTGGACGCGACGTTAAACCCCATTTCACCTCACCTCACCTCATACAAGGTGCACATTTGCAGGAAACGGTCATTATTTCGTGATGAAAGTAATCATTACATGCCGTCAGTTAATGTGATAGGGGTAATTAATTTTATCAACTGATCATTGTTTGTTTAAGAATTGACCTTCACTTTGTGTGAGTTCATTGGAGTATGAACCTTCATAGAGTGAGGGCCAAACTGTATGAACGTCGGAGCTTGCGACAAAGTGAAGGTCAATTCTTATAAATTTTTTATCACAATTTCTTACCTCAAAAGATTTTATTTAGTAGGTGTGACTTCATGTTTACACTGACAGCCATACAACAACCAGCTATATCGCGGAGTAAAATAGTTCCTCAAAAAGAGAGGTGACATGAGCGTATGGATGCACAACTTGCTCTCCAGAAACATCTTACGCAGCACATGTGTTCAAATCATATCCTGATTAGATGAGAAAGGTCTGTAAAGAACTACCTCAGTAGTCCGTCAGTGTTTACGTCATTTCAAGAACACGGTCTCGTGAAAAACGTATGAACGTCAAATTGTGTCGTTCATACACTTATGAACGTCAATTTCGGGGTCATGTGACCGACCTCTCGTCCAATGGAGAAGCCGTATATCGTGTAAACTTCAAATAAAAAAATTATTTGATGTTTAACGCCGCACTCAGCAATATTCGAGCTACATCTTCAGCCGTAAAAGGCGACTATATGTTTGTCGTAACAGGCGACTAACGGGATCGGGTGGTCAGACTCGCTGACTTGGTTGAAACATGTCATCGATCCCAATTGCGTGGATCGATGCTCATGATGTCAATCGCTGGATCGTCTGGTCCAGACTCGATTATTTTACAGACCGCCGTCATATAGCTGGAATATTGCCGAGTGCGGCATTAAACAACAAACAAACAAAACAAAAAAACATGACGGCGGTTCAAATGATGTACTCTGGATAGGAAGCCCGGCTTCTATTTGGTGGACAGAGCGTATGACCCGGCGTATGACTTGAGGGGTGTAATAGAGGAAATGCGGTAATCTTTGATATTGCAGCATCGCATATGACGTTAGCTTGAAAAGTATGTGGAAAATCACCGTCGTAAATGTGACGGCTAGAAATATAGTCCATCATGTGCAGGGTATAGATTGAGAAATACATGTATAGTGTATAGTAACGTTTTGCTTAGATAAATGTCTAACATCACCGTCGTAACATCAATTGTGCGTCTGCCCGGAGAGCGGAAGGTCGTGGGTTCGATCCCCGGCCGCATCATACCAAAAGACGTCATAAGATGGTACTTATTGTTACTCTGCCAGGCTTTCGGCATTAAGGGGCTAAAACAAGGACTGATCCGCTCAGTATACTGTGTCCGAGTTTGGTATTCATGTTAAACTGCGGCATGGTATATCAGTGGGCTAGCACTATGAATCGGCATCAGTCCGGACAAGTACAAGCAGCCACACCCAAACGCACATACACGCGCACACTCGCACGCACTCACGCGCTATATAAGGGCAATATTCTTGGACGCGACGTTAAACCCCATTTCACCTCACCTCACATGAAATGGCGTCAGAATGTTAACACTCATCTGTAATATGATACCCGTGACGATCCGGGTTAAATTAGGTCTTCAGCAATCCATGCTTGGCGTAAGAGGCGACTAACGGGATAGGGTAGTCAGGCTTGCTGACTTGATTGATGCATGTCGTCGTATCCCAGTTGTGTAAATCGATGCGCATGATGTCAACCACTGGATTGTCTGGTTCATGCTCAATTATTTACAGACCACCGTCATGTAGCTGGAATATTGCAGAGTGTGGCGTTAAACAACAAACAAACAAAACGTTTATCATAACGTTCATGAGTCAGTGACTGAGTATGATTTTACGCCACTTTTAGCAATATTCCAGCAATATTACGACAGGGGGGCACCGGAAATGGGCTTCACACATTGTACCTATGTCAGGAATCGAACCCGGGCCAACGGTGGAACGAGCGAACGCTTTAACCACTTGGCTACCCTACCGTCCATGCCGTGTTTAACCGTGATCAATAGTCATTTTATTGCGAATCCATGTGTAACACAGGTATATTGACATCATGAACCGAATATTAAGTACTTTTTAATTATACTTTGATTAATTACCATGTTCCTACCATACAGAAACATTTAGAGAACTTGAAATATCGAATAGACATAATGCAATAAGCAATTCAGAAACCAATTTATTTTAATCACACATTACCCTTATTAGTTACAGCAGATAAGATCCGACTATTTTTTATTTATTTTAATCACAGCATATACAACTTTTAAAAAAATGACATGTTTGTGTTGTAATTTAATTTTAAGAACAGAAAAAACTCAACACCTTACCATGTAGTAACCCCTTATATAATGTCCGGGGCGGTCGGGTAGCCTAGCGGTTACAGCGTTCGCGCGTCACGCCGAAGACCCGGTTCGATTCCCACATGGGTAAAATGTGTGAATCATATTTAAGGTGTCCCCCCGCCGTGATATTGCTGGAATATTGGTAAACGCGGCGTAAAACAATCCTCACTCACTAACTCTATAATGGAAATTAATTGGATATATCCCAAGAAAGTCGTGTGAGTCTTGGATCCTTCTGAGCTGAATCACGCACATCCGGAGCATCACGAATGTTTCTTGAGCAAAACACAGAACCCTGACAAACACATTAAGTTGACGCCTCATTATAAAGACTTCACGAAAAAGGTTCGAAGAATACTTTTGTCAGGACATCACTTTGTTATGTAATGGTAATTGAGTCCCTGTTATCTAAGGATCTCAAGGTGAAGGTCGCCGATCCCCGAACTAAGATGTTTACGTTTTCCCTAGATCGATAGAGTTCTATTTTGATGAATGGTTCAAGGTGAAGGCCGTCTGTAATACCAAGCCTCTCCGCAGGCCCGGCACTGACTAGTGCGTTATTCATAAATCATGCAACTGGCATAACTCACGGAGCTATTAGTGCTTATGTCACAAGGCATATTCCGTTGATGTATTTAGTAAACAAAGAAAAAACTACCGGCCTCGCTCTGTGTGCTGTAATGGGTATGTTGGATCAGAAGATGGACAAGACTAAAAGCAAGTAAGTATGGCCGAAGACTATTTCGTGAGCTCTGTTGTAATGTCTAGTTTTGTGTAAAAGGCGATTGGTTTTGAATTAGTTGATTAAATGTATGCCATCAGCCATAAATACTTCTGTAGGTGCGTGTATGCTTAAAATGATCATACTGCTGAGGAAAATATAACAAAGTAATCACAAAATTGTTGTTTTTTCTGTTGCCTTTTACATATTTTTGAAAATATATTAAGACCTTTTAGAGGTTGTTTTTTAAACGCATATGTAAACTGTTTATTGTAAATAATTTAATTAGGCATTTTTTCTGTGATTGATCGATGTCTATAAACCGTGTCCTTACATGTAGATCTAAGCGAAATGGCGAGCCTAAATTTACATTCCTCGTGACGTCATTCTTGTGACGTCATAGAGCGTTATAATATAGCTATCATGGCATCGAAATAAAAACACAAACATTTTGGAGAGTGAGGAGAGGGCTAGGTACGCGAAACAAATGTTTTAGTGTACATGAACTAGAATTGTTTTTGTATACTTTAAGTACGTTCGACCTTTTCATTGTTTCCAATCGCGGTATTTACAAATCATTACCTAGTTCCAAAAGGTCCGATACAATGACGGGCACCTGCAAAATTGTTTGTTTGACTATGTGGTATTATATAAGGCTGAATATTATGAATCCACAATACAGAGAATTGACGTTATTATCCATATAAGTTTTTCGTGTTCTTGCAAATTACAATTCATTTATAACCAGCTTATTTAAGTCAAAACGATAGATGGTAAATGGGAAACACTGCCGTACCCTTAGACCAAGGTAAATTACAGCCGCCATCTTGACCTGCATTTCGGTCGTTTTGGAGAAGTGAATATAGTATTTGTGTGCACCACTTTTGCTGTTCGCGTGTAATTTGTGTGCACGTGTTTGTATAAGCCATCGAGAAGTTGATAATGATGGGAATTTAGCTAACCGGGTATGTCTGAAACGTGCATTTGCATGCATTTTGATTGTTTCCAATGCGCTTGAGCTGAGTACAAAAAGGGGACTTCCTTTGTTCAGCGCTTGATACGATCACATATTTTCACGTTTTCTGCTTATTTTACAAAGGTCCATATGTCAGTTGTAAGTCAGGGGAATGGATACAGTGGGTGACAAGAGAAACACTTTGGATCAAGCGTTAGACATAGCTGACAGTGTGTTGAACAATTCTGCTCTTACCACAATATCTGTCGGTGACAGCGGTCCGTCACTCAGCTGTGGCGGTTCTCCAGCTGATCCAATTGCGGGTTCAACGATCGCAACAACATCGGGGATTTCTCCCATACTTGACTGCCCTTCTACCACGTCGCAAAGAATCACGCTGGAAGGTAAATATATCTTGTCCTAAGTCGTATTTATGTAATATCATGTTCGTTATACCTTGTGTAACTGAATTGCAGAATCACGACTGTTTACTGTTAGTCTGTCATCTTGCACAAGTAACATCCGTGAACAGAAGATGTTGGCATGAACGTCAACAATTACATCTCCAGTCCAGACTTTTGATGTTGTGGTGGGGCTAGGTTCTTTTAATTTATTTCTCAAACCATTTTTAGGTATAGATCTATTTTTTGTTGAGCACTGTTAATGTCACTTTTGACAAAGACTAATAACATTGTAGATTCTATGTGTACAAGCAGATTGTGTTCTGAAGGATATCAATCTTTGTGACGTGTAATACAATGTGTTTTCATGATTTAAAAATATTACGTATGAACTAGGAAGTTGTATTAACTATTAAGACCATAGCACCCTTACTGTTCATTTTATTACCAATAGCCAAACATGCTGAAAGTCCACATTTTGACTTAACATACTTCTGATGAAATACATCCTCAGCCCCCATTCATCATGTTCATGCCTCTTTGGAAATAAACCAATGTTTTATTACATCATGAAGAACTTTCTTCCAACATAAGCACTGTAAATGGGTTGCCAGGCAACAAGTTTGGGTTGTCAGTTGAGCTTTAACATGTTAAATGATATGTCTAGATCCATGTGATCAAGCCTGTACATTTAGTGATGAAAAAGAAATCCTGTGTCATTCTTATTTTCATGGGGACCTGTGAACATCCAGAATCCGGAATAGAATAGGTCTTCAGCAAACCATACTTGCCGTAAGGGGCAACTATGCTTGTGGCAAAAGAAGACTAACGGGATCGGGTTGTCTGGCTTGGTTGATGCATGACATCGTATCCCAATTGCGTGGATTGATGCTCATGATGTCAATCAGTGGATTGTCTGGCCCAGACTCGATTATTTATAAACTACAATATAGCTCGAAAATTGCTGTGTGCTGTGTGCTGCGCTAAACAACAAACAAACAATAATCATGATAATGTTGATGGGTGCTTGTCATATCCAAGAGTCAAAATACAACATGAATAATAAGATTAATACGCAGTGAGACAGGGTACTATTATTTGCAATTTTAACTGAAATTTTGCTGCAGTTATGATCACCGTGTTAATATTTTGATGACAAGAATAGACTAAATGGAGACGAGTGACATAGATATATGCTGGGAAAATACTACCCGGTAGTATAAGAAACTCATTTGCCACTTTTATATCATTGTCGTCACATCATCATCATGATCATGAATATGTAAACAGTTTTAAAAGTTTAACAGAGAAACAATGTAGACTGAGGTGACGCTGTTTGGAGTCACCAACTGACATCGCTAGAGATACTGAGTGATGCTCAGCCATTTTTTATTCAAAAAGCTTTTCATGTGAATAGAAATCATAAAAATATAGCATAGCACTTGTCTCATGAGCATGTTGGATATATATTTTCTGTATCACCTGAACAATTTATGTGTCTTTTTGTCAAGACAGATTAACCATGTAACGTAATGTGAAAGAATTCGATGTTTTTTAGCAGTATATTACAGAGGTCCAGATAAGCTTTTGGTGTTGTGGGTATTTTACCCATGCATTTTAAAATCATTGGGTATCAGTAATTCTATCTGCATATTCAAATTTCTGTTACCCACTAGTTTTTACACATGTGGGTATTTAAGTTAAATATTTAAAAACACTATTCATCTAGTCCCTGCAAACTGGTGCCGTGTGGGTTCGAGAGCTTTATAGGACTCCAAAATACCACGATACTTCCACAAGAAAGTGTGATGGCAAATGATCATGATGTAACTGTCATCGTGGAGTTTGGCAAGGTTGACGGAATGCCCGTTTATAATTACAAAATAAGTTGCTGATTTGCTAATCGAATACGCAGGGCTACTTCACAATATTTTGATGATACGCACAAGTTTTATTTTTGTAGCGTATCTGTAATGTTCGTTGCATATTTGATACGCTTGGATTATATTTTACTTTGTATTTCTGCATTTCTGATGCGTATTTCACGCAGATACGCAGCTTATCTGGCGCTCTGTATATTAACATTGTGACATTACCATGATTATGACTATGGATTATATCATGAAAATGCTAAGAATTTAATATTTGACTCAAATGATACACATGCTATGGGAGCAAATCTCAAAGACCCCAAGACTCCATTAATTTCGAAAACTGTGAGTGTGAGGTGTGTATGGATCTTCTACAAAAAGAAGAACATGACTTAGTCCTACCTGTCATGCCTACAAGTTTCATTACCACTGTCAGATGATGCATCGGTGGAATGCGTTTTTTTTAGTTCTCGATACAAGTATTGATCACAATCACACACTAAGTAAAAAATAGTGATTCTGACCTTAAATGTTTGCTTTACTAACGGTTCCAATAAACACTAATCAGTAGTGCAAGTTAATAGTGAAAACAAACAGCGTTCATTTGTTGTGCCATAATTACAATGTATAAGGGGGCACGGGTGGCCCAGTCGTCTAAGGCGCCGCGATTCGCTGTGCAGAGTTGCGTCCCTTGAGCACGCCAGAAACCTATGATTGTGGGTTCGAATCCCGGTTCGCCCCGATTATGTTTCTAGGTTTGTCAGCACCATACCCGTGCTCGTGGGTTTCACCGAAGTGGTAAACGTCTGAGACCTGCATCACTTCGGGCTTTCCTCCCACATTAAGCTGACACGCCGCGATATAACTGGAATATTGTTAAAAGCGGCGTAAAACCCAACTCACTCACTCACTCACAATGTATAAACGGGTTGATTGCATCACGGCATGGTTTCTGTGTTAACAGCATCTACAACAGCATTCTGAGTGTATTCAGAAAATGATGTTGAGAATCTTGACAAACAACAAAGTTTGTTGCATCAAACTTGATCTATAAAAGATTTGTCTGCGTTAGAAATTGGCACTAGTCCTGTAGTCCTTGCCAAACTTTCCAACGTTTAAAGTATCATGAGGACTAGTAGAAATTTACCATTTTTAGGGGTTTTGATATAGGTAATGATTATAAGGACTTGTAGACTAAAAATGTTAGTTTCTACCGCTGATTGTTAAGCCAGTAAGCTTCTTTTTCGATGCATCCAATGATTCAGATGACCTGTAAAGATGTAGGTTAGAATTGATCTTCAGCAATCCAGGCATGGTGTAAGACTTAGGGGCGACTAACAGGACTCTGTTGGTGCATGTCATTATCCCCCGCCGCGCGAAAGCGCGAAGCGGGGGATATAGTATTCACGACCGTCCGTACGTCCGTCCGTACGTCCCACCTGTTTGTTGCCGCGATATCTCAAGAACTAAACACTGGATTGTCTTCATATTTGGAACTATGGTGTATATACAGACTCCGCAGACACCAGTCAGTTTTGGTGACCTTGACCCCATTTTAAAGGTCACAGCAGGCATATCTGCTTTTGGAGTTGGAAAACAGTGTTGCCGCGATATCTCAAGAACTAAACACTGGATTGTCTTCATATTTGGAACTATGGTGTATATACAGACTCCGCAGACACCAGTCGGTTTTGGTGACCTTGATCCCATTTTCAAGGTCACAGCAGACAAATCTGCTTTTAGAGTTGGAAAACGGTGTTGCCACGATATCTCAAGAACTAAACACTGGATTGTCTTCATATTTGGAACTATGGTGTATATACAGACACCGCAGACACCAGTCGGTTTTGGTGACCTTGACCCCATTTTCAAGGTCACAGCAGGCAAATCTGCTTTTGGAGTTGGAAAACGGTGTTGCCGCGATATCTCAAGAACTAAACACTGGATTGTCTTCATATTTGGAACCATCGTGTATATACAGACTCCGCAGACACCAGTCGGTTTTGGTGACCTTGATCCCATTTTCAAGGTCACAGCAGGCAAATCTGCTTTTGGAGTTGGAAAACGGTGTTGCCGCGATATCTCAAGAACTAAACCTCTCGATTGTCTTCATATTTGGAACTATGGTGTATATACAGACACCACAGACACCAGTCGGTTTTGGTGACCTTGACCCCATTTTCAAGGTCACAGCAGGCAAATCTGCTTTTGGAGTTGGAAAACGGTGTTGCCGCGATATCTCAAGAACTAATCGCTGGATTGTCTTCATATTTGGAACTATAGTGTATATACAGACACCGCATACACCTGTCAGATTTGGTGACCTTGACCCCATTTTCAAGGTCACAGCAGGCAAATCTGTTTTTGGAGTTGGAAAACGGTGTTGCCACAATATCTCAAGAACTAATCGCTGGATTGTCTTCATATTTGGTACTATGGTGTATATGGCGGGGGATATTTCGTCACTCTGTGACAAATACTTGTTGTATCTCAATTGCGTAGATCTATGCTCATGATGTCAATCAATGGATTGCCTGGTCCAGATTATGATTTACAGGTCTCTGCCATATAGCTTGAATGTTGCTGAGTGTGGCTTTAAACAACAAACAAACAAACCAAACTTTCTTGTCATGTTAAGAAAGTGAAATAATCTACACGACACTCATGGAAAACCATGTTTACAAATTCATGATATTCATACTGAAATAAGTTTGATATAAATTTGATTTTCAATAAGAATGCTATGACAGACATATTGAAAAGAATAATCTCTGTATAGTGAACGAGGTGGATTTTAATGTCACATCATCAACAGCCCAGCCATACTACAACAGACCCGTGAAGATTCCGGGGTAGACTAGGTCTTCAGCAACCCATGCTTGCCGTAAAAGGTGACTATGCTTGTCGTAAAAGGCGACTAACGGGATCGGGTGGTCAGACTCGCTGACTTGGTTGATGCATGTCATCGATCCCAATTGCGTGGATCGATGCTCATGATATCAATCACTGGATGGTCTGGTCCAGACTCGATTATTTACAGACCGCCGTCATATAGCTGGAATATTGCTGAGTGCGGCGTTAAACAACAAACCAAACAAACCATACTACAACAGGGTCAAATTAAATATTCAT